CGTCTGGAAACAACCATGCATGGTTAGCAGATGGTACATCGGTAATTCTCACAGGGGCCAAGTGAGGGAAAGGTGAAAACCGCAGATTATGCTGTGAATTACTTCTTCACGTCTGTCAAACTGGAAAGATGGTAATTTTTTTTTAATATTAAAAATGATGATGGTATTTTCAGCCTTGTCTAACCAGAGTTTGTTTTGTTTTTGGGGGGGTTGTGTGTTTGTGTGTGTGTGTGTGCTGCTGTGCCTTTGAGCTTGGAACTCATGTCGCCTTTCCTGAGGAGACACAGTTGCAGTGAAGTGCTCCTACTTCGTAGTATTTGTTGTACTGCAGACTTCTGTCCTGAATTACAAGCTAATCCTGCCGCCTCCTGGGCTCCCTGTCATCTGTGTTTGGGTCTGCAGCCTTTCTCTTTGATTCCCAAGTGGGCACGGCCGAGAGAAAATCCATTCCACACAGCATTGTGCTCTTAGAAGTAAAGAGATGATCACACAGAAACCTGAAACGCCTCTCAGTTCCTGCAGGGGCAGGACTGAGGAGACACTAACCTGCTGTGAGGACATTGGCTGGGGCTCAGGACAATCCTTTGCCTCAGCTTAGTGCTGATTGTGACTGTTTCGTCTCTTGGATTCTCCCACTGTTTCTTTCTCTCTCTCTCTCTCTCTCCCTCTCTCTCTCTCTCACTCTCCCGGTACTGGCCAGCGCTCCAGCTGTAGGTGGAGCTGGCTTTCCTGGAATTGTCGGGCAACTTTTCCTGTTGTGCTTGCTACCTCTTGCTCAATCTCCTTCTTAATGACAGCTCTGCTGTGGGATTACTGCGACTGTAAGGAATACAGTCGTCTGGATGCAGCACTTTACAGCATGCCGGGGCTCAGGGCTGCTGCGTTTGTTGTCATAAAAATATTTTCATGATTCAGCTCAGAAGTTTCCCTTCAGCAGAGATGTCTCGGAAGTGCAAAGTGGGGCGAAATCCATCGGTGGGTAAAGTAAAGTGTATGAAAGGGGCAGCTGTGGGGGCTGTGAATCAGTGTGTGTACTGGCTCTGTGGAAGATTTTCAGAGTTGACAAGGGTTTTTGTAACTTTGGGCAGCTTTCATACCACGGCTGTGACATCAGAGGATCGGTGTCTGTGCTTTGTGTTTGTAATATAAAACTGTTTTTCTTCCTCCTTGAATGTGGGGCAGTGGATGAGTCGACAACCTGTTTGACAAGACTCACAAAAAAGAAGAGCTGTGTTGTGTTTAAGACAGACATATATATACAAAATGTTTATATTAGTTGAATTTGATGCTGTTATTATTTCAACAGTGACATTTTATTAAACCAGTGTCAGTTTGTTGGGACAGTTCTAATGCATATTGATTGGTGTTGGATGGAGTCGCCACAATTTTATTTTGTAAACTTTTTAAAAACTTTTCATTTAGTTTTATATACAAATGTTGATGATTTGTACACGTGTGTCTGCACTTCCACTGGTATCTAGGTATTTATGAGTATCATTTCTTTCTCTGTGACTTGATATTCTACGACTACTATAAAGAATATTCATCTCTGTGCCTACGAAAGTACAAAGATCACTTCCTGCTCCGTGGCCCTGTGTGTGTAAGAACGTGGTGTAACCAAGCCGAGGTCTGTGGGTCCGGTGTCCTCACTAATTCACAGGCCAGCAGTGCCGACTGTCCTGATAATGAGCCTTTGCCTTCTTTGCACATAATGAGCGGAGGTGGACGGTTCACATCGGAAGACGCTGTGACCACAGTGTGTTCCCTCGCAGCTGGGGTGTCTGACTGACCCGGGAACAAAGGCGTAGTGTTTGTGATAGTGTGGAGTCCCAGCCATCACACAGCAGACCAATACACTTCTGCTTGGCTGAGCTGTCAGTCCACACCGGCCCGCTGGCCTGTGGACCGTAGTACAGAGCGGAACACATGGGGTCAGGCTTGTTCCTGTGCCAAATTAAAATGAGAGGCCACTGCAGAAGTTCTGAGGTCAGCCAGTGCACACAGGACTTGTATCTACTTGTCACATTGATTGGAAATCTCTTTGAATATAAAGTGCTTCAATATTTCTTTAAATTTGATGCCTAATAGGACAATAAAAAATTGGTATTTCTTTCAATATTGTTTCATTTTTTATCTATTTAATTGTTTTTTATCTCTTGTTTACAGATAGCTGTTCAGCTTCCCTGGATTTCGCAGACAGTTTTTCTTTGTTTTGCCTGAAGATGGAAACACTGGAGTCGGAGCTGACCTGCCCAATTTGTCTAGAGCTATTTGAAGACCCGCTGCTCTTGCCCTGTGCCCACAGCCTTTGTTTCAACTGTGCACATCGTATCCTGGTCTCCCACTGCACCCCCAGTGAACCAGTTCAATCCATCAACGCCTTTCAGTGCCCAACCTGCCGCTATGTCATCACACTAAACCAGAGGGGCCTGGAGGGACTTAAACGCAACGTGACTTTACAGAACATCATCGACCGTTACCAGAAGGTCTCCCTCAGTGGACCGAATTCTCCCAGCGAAACTCGGCGTGAGCGCGCGGCTCCCGACAGCAAAGCCATGACATCTCCCGGCATCCGGGTCCAGTGTCAGTTCTGCGAGCAGGACCCGCCGCTGGATGCTGTAAAGACTTGCGTCACCTGTGAGGTGTCGTACTGCGACGAGTGTCTGAAGGCCACCCACCCCAACAAGAAGCCCTTCACCAGCCACCGTCTCATTGAGCCCTTGCTTGACTCCCATCTGCGAGGGCTTATGTGTCTGGAGCACGAGGATGAGAAGGTCAACATGTACTGTGTGACAGATGAGCAGTTAATCTGTGCGCTGTGTAAGCTGGTTGGCCGACACCGAGACCACCAAGTGGCAGCCCTCGGAGACCGTTATGACAAACTCAAGGTAAGATGGGATCAGATATTGATATTGATTCACAGCTCATTTTTAGGCTTCCGATTTCTTAATAATTTGTGAACATATTAGGGTCTGTACTGAGAAGTTCTAAAAAAAAATTATCAATTATAAAATGCATCATATTGGACACAGAAGGTTAGCAGTAGATTTTAATGTGTGTTTTAAATCTCTGTAAACGGCATCGAACTGGTGACCAATCCAGGGTGCAACCCACCTTCACCCATTGTCAACTGGAATTAGCTCCAGCTCCCCTGTGAGTACAGGTATTTGAATGAAGTATTTGTATATACTAGTATCGGTTCCATCCTTGGAATATACAATTTCCTGAAGAAGTCCCAGTAGCAACAGCCAGATTTAGCTTTTCAAACTTCTCCTCATACATAAGTGATGGGAACGCACTGTGAGACACAGGGTCATAAATGTTAATATTCTTTGATTGGAAATTTATGACAATAATTTCAGAAAGCCACACTTTTAGTGCACCGTTTCACCCCTCTGTGGTCATATTTTATTACCCAATTAGCGTTACGTGCCATCATATAAAAATTATTTCTCAATATTTTTTATTTACGGCTGTGCGATAAGCAAAAAAAAAAAGGTTAATCACCTTAATATCTTCAAGTGCAGATCACTGCTGTGATAAATGTCAGCTAATTTAAGCTTGATACATGTTTCAAACTGGGGTTTTTTTATGGACATGAAATGATTTTTTAGACGCACTAATGTCTTACAGATTGGAGGTGAAATATTCCGAGGGTTATTTACAGTATTTTGAAGTGTGTTTATGCCACACACAAACATGTATTTGTCTTACTTCTGCTGCCTGTCCTTTATAGAGTCACGGGGGAGTGGGGGGAGTGGGGGAGTGAAAGGCGGGACACACACAGATGCACAACCGTGCAAACTTAGCGTGACGCCTCCAGTCAGTTTAGAGTCCCCTAATCCCTAATCTGAACCCAGACATGTGTAGGAGAAGAAAACTGAGTCACCAGGAGGAAAGTCAGGAGGACGAGACACAAGTACATGAATACTCTGCACACACTGGGATTCAGACCGCTGACTTTTTCTCTGTAAGGTATGATCCCAGCTAGGGCTTTCAAACAATTATATAAATAAAAAATCGGATTAATTACAATGGTAGCTGTGGATTAATCACAATTAATCTAGATGAAAATGTTATATATTCAGAGAACCTAAACTGTCAACATTCTTAAATATATATAAAACATACAGAAGGGAGATGTTTGTGTTTTACACCTTCATATGAAAAAATATCAGGAAAAATATAAAAATTGTAAACCTGAAGATTCAACCAGATTTTTTTTATTACATCCATTAGAAATGCTCCCGACGAATCCAGCTGCACTTTACTCTTACAAATTGCCTTGTTTGTGCACAACTAATGGAATGCTCGCAGAAAAAAAAAGAACCTTACCCAACAATTTATCCTGAAAATGGAAACCCAGAACTACTCAGAATATCCTTTAAAGAGGAAATATCGAACTCTCCAGCTGCTTCTCAGAGGCTCAGACACCAAACACCAGATTTTTGTAGTTGGCAACATGCAGTCAGCAGTTTAGGTTCTCCAAATATTTCCCAGGCCCAGACTCGTCCATCAAACAGCCACACAGAAACACATCATTTTTCACTCATCAGAACATGTTTCCGCTGGTCCGGAGAGTTTGGCGAATCCAAAATTTACATGTCGATGACATATTTGTTGAGCTAAAGCGATTCCTGCAGCTGCCGGGAAAGGTTTGGAAATCTGAACTTCAAGCTAAGTGGAATATATGAAAACGCAGTAAAAAAGTGTATTTTGTTGTTCGGTAATTCACTGGAAACATTTCCTAAAAGACAAAAGAAACTCGACTCGAGTTTAAATTATTTAGAAGATGATTCTCTTATTGGCAGATTAATTCATGGAGGTTATTTTATATTTCAAAAAAATAGATTAAAAACAGATCTGACAACCCGGCTGGACGGACTCTGGTTCACTGCTTTGATCTTAGTAAATCATCTGTCAATAATTTTGTGAAGGATTGAAGCGTTATGGACTACAGGTCTCATCTCAAGTCAAGTTTAAAACACCAGGCTGGGTGTTGTACTGTAGTTGACACACCTTCCCAGAATATGAAGAGCATCAGAATGGAAACACTAAAAAAAAAAAAAAAAAACACTGAAATGAAAAACATGTCCTAAATTATCTGGAAAATGTGGGCTGGCTCTGTACTGTACATATGAATGGACGGTTGACTTATTGCGCAGTGACCTGGAGGTAAATGGTTGATTCATAATTCACCATCCTCAGTGTAAAGAAACACACCTCAGGAGACGGCATGTTATGAGGAAGTGCTCACTTCCAGCAGATGTAGAGAGACAGCAGATCAATAGGACATAAAACAGCACAGAACCACAGAAAGTTCGTCTGCTCTCCCATCACTGCAGACAGGATTCCTTTCTAAGACATCTTTACTGATCTGGTCAGCATTTCAATAACAGCCTTACAACCGTGACATAAAACGTATGCAGCAAAGGAAAGATCGCTGCAAGCACAGCAGTTTGTGTGTATTTTTTTAACCTTCAAAATACCTGACTGTAACTAAACTAAGCCGCATTCAAAAGCTCCTTAACATCCACAGACTAGTCACTTTGCCAGATGATACGGCATAAAGAGCGTGACATAAAACAAGGCTGCACGTTTTTTTGGGTTTTTTTCTTCCCAGGCATGTACTGTGTCAGTGCATGAGTCATCTGAAGGAAGTTTTTACTGTGTATCACTCCACACTCCTTTGTGCCTGGTTGGCCATTCTCTTTACAGTGAGTCACAGTGGAGCTGGGATTTATGGCAGCGTTTAGAGCTGATAGGTCGGTGGATTGGTAAGAATACATCATGATTTGCTTGATGATCTGTGACGGTGCAGAAATATTCTGACCTATTTCCCAGAGGGCTTATTTAAACCGGGCGGCACTTCAGTACAGTTCCTATAAAAATGCTGAATGTGTCACATTTGGCTCTTTGAAATGTTTCACCGTGTTATTATGTTTTAATATTATTATTGTTGTTATAGCCCAGACAAGAAACAGGCGAGGCAGTGGTACCCAACCTGTTCTGTCTTTTCTGTCCTCATTGACATCACAAATTTTTCTTCAATTACATGTTGGCAGGTGTCAATCAAGATGCACCTGCAGATATTTTTATTGTTTATATATTTATGTTTAAGATGGAGATGTATAAATTCCTAGACATTAGGCAACCCGATATGAATTCCAGGTGGCCCCATATGGGGTCGCGACCCTAAAGAAAAGGTTTTTGTTTTAATGAATTAATATACATTTAAGGTGGTCAAACTGGATTCCAGGAGGCCCCATGTGGTGTTGAGACCCCAAAGTAATTCTTAATCAATTCATAAATATTTCCGGCAGCCCCACAGGGGTCACGACCCTACAGTTGAAAAACACTGCACTAGTGAAAAGCTAAAAAAAAAAGGCTGATTTTGACAGACAGAAAGTAGACAGGCAAGGTGTGGGTACACACAAGGTAGGAAGTGGAGGAAATAGAGAGAAAAATAGAGATGCACAAATAGTCAGAGCACCACACCTGGTCACCATAGGTAGTGACATTATTTTCTCCATTCATTAGACACAGTATTAACCCTAACCCTCGACCGTGACCGGTCTTCATCGCTGCTGTATAATATCCCAGTTGTTTGATGTCCTCTTTACCATGCCTTATAAAACCCTGTGGATTTTTATGTTATTTTCATACGTAGTTGTTTAACCATGAAACCTCATATTATGTGTAGTTATAGCTGCATTGATAAAAAAACTCTCAGTAACAGTGGGGGAGAAGCCTAGCTTGATGTGAACGACTGTGTTTAATGGCTGACAGGACGGGGCCCAGGTGGTTTGCAGCTGAGCTCGTTCATAGTTGTCGGTTTTTCCAAACACGTGTTTACAGCCACACTGGCTCTTGTTCCTGAGGTCCTTCACAAAGGGATGGTGTGACATTGAAGAGGCGTACGAGTGTGCGCGCACATGTCTGCATAATGCAACAGATATTTTTATTCCGGTTTTGGCATTATATGACACAGTCTCGGTGCAGCATTTGTTATTGTGTACCCATTTATTATTGATGCCATGCAAATTGTTCAAACACTCACGCTCACAGGCGGCGTTTTTGTTTGAGATGAAGTTAACGCGCTTTGAACACTGGGAATATACACAGACCCAGGAAGTTTCTGTAAAGAAGTAATACTGCAGATTTCTAAAGATGATTAAATATTTTAGTATCGGAGGTAAATATTTAATCCTTTCTGCTTTACCAGTCATCTTTTAAAGTAATCAAAGTCTGTGCGGTCCACAGTGAGTACTGCCTATTTATTCAGAGGATCAGTTTTCTATTGTTTCTCTGCATGCCGATGTTTCCCTGGGCAGACCCCTAACCCGAGCTCTGACCCAAGACTCCAAAACCAAAATAAGTTCACACATACTTTATATAAACAAAACTATTTTTACTACGCTCACATATTGCAAACATAGTTAATTAACAAAAGTAGTGTTTGAATTTAAACAGCTCCATCCCACATAAAAACAAACACAGATTTCTATAAAAAAACATCCAGAAAAGAAAATACAATTTACATAGAAACCAATGAAACACACACACACACATTCTTGAGTACAGCTGGATAAGAAATGAGTCTTTATTTGTACAGCATGTTTCTCATGCGTCACTGAGATTGTGACACATACACATCAGGACAGGCCCATGTTCAAAGATCTGAGATGTTGGTTGATAGAAAGGACTGGAAACATATTAGACAGAAGACAAGTAATATTTATGGTGAAAAAAATTAACCATCCATAAAACCATTTATATCATATTTGCTACACAAAAAATCCTGTTATATATGATCTGATACCTGTAATCTGCCCCCTAGTGGATTAGAGTTAGGGTTATATACAAATAATCTATACGTTATATACAAGAATACATCATAATCATTTTGTTATAATGTTTAAAAAACATCTCAGTTTAATTATTTTGAATTTTTGTGTCATGCTTAACAGGATTAAACTAAGCAAATCACTAGCTTACTAAAAAATACCCAGACTGAGCCTTTATCATGTTGTGTTATAATATAAAATCAGGTTAACCCTGCATAAAGAATAAAAACAATATTCCGTGAGTTTATTTTGAAAAAATAGAATGTACAAAAAAAAGATTGGTCCGTTGGAATCACAAACGTGTCTTTGAATGTTTATGGTTTTGCAGGATATTAAAACAACCAACCATTACAATGGATGAAATGTCTGGTGGTGACACAGGATAAAACACCAGGTCCAGACAGGTCACTGTCAGGACTGTGGGAGGAAGGAAGAGAGATTAGCCAACAGAGGTGTGGGACCAGAGGCATTCACGTAGAAAAGGAAGCTGCTATTCTTTCCTCGCGCCCGGTATAAATTGTTTTAGGAAAAACCACTTCCATTGGAAAGTGTTCTCTTGATATATGAAGAACAGGAATGTTGCAGAAGAAGCACGTGAGAAAACTCACTTTCTCTCTTTTCCATTCATATCCCCTCATCTCAGCATGGAGCAATCAAAAGTAGAGAACACTTTTCTGGTCTATCTAAATTTAATGATCTATGCATAACGTTTGAGGTTCTAAAGACTTTTAACCCAATTGCCTACACCCCAAAAATGGCTTTTATCACTTTCTATCTTTATAAATAAATAATCCTGTTCAATATGTGTTGGAGCAGTGAAGTAACGCCTCAGTGCAGAATGAGAGACAGTTTTACCTTAGAGATTAAAAAGGTGTCCCTGTGTTTTCCCTATGCTTTTAAAACTGTCCCTCACTTTATTTTATTTTGTTGAATATCATTTGATTTTTGGTTGCAAACTATTGCACTCGTACTTTGTTGGATGAAAACACAGCTGACAATATCTGTGGACGTCTCATAGCGTCACAGGACAAAGCCATCGTGACGCCCAATTACAGTCAGGGATTGAGTTTGAACCATAAGCCTTTGATCTGAGTCAGTGATTAACACAGTTGGGGTTTAGTTGTCCAAATCTGTGGCAGATGCTTGGCTAAGCTCCGTGGCCTCGGTCGGCGGCGTGATGACATCTTTGGTGCGCAGCGAGAACTGCAGGGGCGTTGAGCTCCGCACAGATCAGAGCTTAAATGTGGCCACGCACACCCGCTGGTAGCTCTGTGCTCGTCACAACCCGGACAGATATCCAGATATGGAGCCATTCTCATAACGCCGCTAAAAGACCCGTTCAGCTGTTCACAGCTTTATGGACGGACAATGTGCCATGAAATTTACCTTTTCAATTTTGTTTTGCAGCAAGCCTTGGACTCCAACCTCAGCAATCTAATCAAGAGGACCAGTGAGTTGGAAAGCCTGATGGGCAAACTTATCCAAACCTGCCAGAATGTGGAGGTGAGGTTGTAGGTCCAGACAGGTCACTGTCAGGACTGTGGGAGGAAGGAAGAGAGATTAGCCAACAGAGGTGTGGGACCAGAGGCATTCACGTAGAAAAGGAAGCTGCTATTCTTTCCTCGCGCCCGGTATAAATTGTTTTAGGAAAAACCACTTCCATTGGAAAGTGTTCTCTTGATATATGAAGAACAGGAATGTTGCAGAAGAAGCACGTGAGAAAACTCACTTTCTCTCTTTTCCATTCATATCCCCTCATCTCAGCATGGAGCAATCAAAAGTAGAGAACACTTTTCTGGTCTATCTAAATTTAATGATCTATGCATAACGTTTGAGGTTCTAAAGACTTTTAACCCAATTGCCTACACCCCAAAAATGGCTTTTATCACTTTCTATCTTTATAAATAAATAATCCTGTTCAATATGTGTTGGAGCAGTGAAGTAACGCCTCAGTGCAGAATGAGAGACAGTTTTACCTTAGAGATTAAAAAGGTGTCCCTGTGTTTTCCCTATGCTTTTAAAACTGTCCCTCACTTTATTTTATTTTGTTGAATATCATTTGATTTTTGGTTGCAAACTATTGCACTCGTACTTTGTTGGATGAAAACACAGCTGACAATATCTGTGGACGTCTCATAGCGTCACAGGACAAAGCCATCGTGACGCCCAATTACAGTCAGGGATTGAGTTTGAACCATAAGCCTTTGATCTGAGTCAGTGATTAACACAGTTGGGGTTTAGTTGTCCAAATCTGTGGCAGATGCTTGGCTAAGCTCCGTGGCCTCGGTCGGCGGCGTGATGACATCTTTGGTGCGCAGCGAGAACTGCAGGGGCGTTGAGCTCCGCACAGATCAGAGCTTAAATGTGGCCACGCACACCCGCTGGTAGCTCTGTGCTCGTCACAACCCGGACAGATATCCAGATATGGAGCCATTCTCATAACGCCGCTAAAAGACCCGTTCAGCTGTTCACAGCTTTATGGACGGACAATGTGCCATGAAATTTACCTTTTCAATTTTGTTTTGCAGCAAGCCTTGGACTCCAACCTCAGCAATCTAATCAAGAGGACCAGTGAGTTGGAAAGCCTGATGGGCAAACTTATCCAAACCTGCCAGAATGTGGAGGTGAGGTTGTTTATCTGTTTCCCTGGGGGGAGGGCGGTGGGAGGGGGGTCTTAACTCTTCTTAACTTGTGGCATTTCACGGGGAAATAACTCAGTTAATGATTAACCCCACTATGATGAATTAGCTCAGATATCTCAGAGCAGATTTCCATCCTGCCACTGAGATGAATCACTAATTAGTTCCCAGATCAATAACTTCTTTAATCATGTGTACAGTATGCGAGAAATGAAGTAGTTTCAGATATTTTAACCCCGTTGTTTTTTTTTATTATAGAATCATGCATTTTTAATGCACTTCACTGAATACTGAAAATATGAGTTTCCAAGTCAAGGGAACATACATTAAAATTACACATGGTTGGAACAACGACCAGGAATCTAATCATCAGATTCTGTGCAATTTCCCTCCCACCTTATTCCCAGTGTATAAATTGATTCAGTTGTTTAATCGCACTCTATAATGACTTAATACAGTGTGTGCTGTACAGCTACTGTATTTTTTTTTTTTTAATGGACTCCCGACACTGAGTGTATCTCTACATATTCCATGTCCTGTCAGGTCAATGCATCACGACAAGAAAACAAGCTGCTGGAGGAGTGTGAACTGCTGATTAATATCGTACAACAGCGGAGACAAGTCATAGCCACGAAGATAAAGGAAGGAAAGGTACCGCGTATCACCTTTGGTGTCTTGATAACCTTTGTTCATCCTGATGAGTACATCCTTGATACACACACTTGTACACACACACACAGCTGACAGCTACAGGGGCTTCC